TAAGTGATTTTGAACCATCAATTGACCAAAGGCCAAAGCTTTACATTGAAAAAGAATACACACCAAACAAGGATGGTTCAAACACTAATAATGTCAAGGACACTGTCTTTTGGAAAGACACTTTTGGACATGGTTGTCATCCTCTCACTCAAGATGTCATCAATTCTTGGCCTGAAAAACCACAAAAATATAGGTATATTTTATATGTCGGTGTTCGATATCCATACTGAAGTGTGACTAATTATAATTTGTTTGACCAAACTTTTGGGAGTACAAAGATGTTTTTGTTATAACTGATTATGGAGTTTCAATAAAAGTGATTATTAACAAAGAAAAACACACAAGAGTGTGGCTTAGTGGTCAATAAAGTAGTTGAGAATTCGGAGATCTTAGGTTCAAAACTCAACCGAGACAAAAACAACATTAGGTAATTCTTCACATTTGTGACAGGTATATATCTATAGAATTAGTCGAGGTGTGCGAAAGCTAACACAAAAACCCAAAAAAAAAAACAAGAATTTTTTTTTCTTATTACAACTACTTAGGGTAAAATAGCTGAAAATTTCTTATTAAAAATGTTAATTAATGGATAATTAACTTAGCGGCCCCACCCTAAGTTCAAATGGTTAATCAACTGACATACTAAGTTTTTTTTTTCCGGTCCAATTATTTAAACTGAAAATAGCATGTCAATGTAAGATATACATACAATTCATGTATAACATACGTATAATCGTGTTATGTATACTAGTTAGAAAAAATAAACGGTAAATCAGATCGATTATTTATGTAAAACATCCTTATATCAATCTTGCTCCATTTGTTTCATTTTCAGAGAAGTGATTGGTGAATATGCATTGGAACTAAGAAAATTGAGCTTAAGGATTTTGGACTTGATGTGTGAAGGACTTGGGCTTGAAGTTGGATATTTTAGCCAAGAACATAGCCAAACTCAACTCATGGTGACCCATCACTACCCACAATGCCCTGATCCAAACTCAACAATAGGTATAGGTGAACATTGTGATGGTGCACTTATCAATTTGGTCCAACAAGAACTAAGTGGATTGCATGTGAGAGACAAAGATGGCAAATGGTTTGGTGTTGAACCAATTCCTGGTGCACTTGTTGTTATCAATGGTCTGATCTTAAAGGTATTGTACACATCATGCTTTAAATCGACTAATTCAGGTTCACATCTGAAAAAGGGTTTATTATAGTAAATGTTAGTGCTCTTTATCAAAATATTTGAGATATCTAAACCTTCATTGATAAAAGAATATTTATTTTTATTATCCCATTTATAAAAGAATGACAACTTTTAAAATTTTGAAATGACTTAACTTAAACTTCTTTTTTACATGTCATACAAATGTTATACAGTGTTTTAGATTACACGTTTCGAAAGTTTTATAATTACATAAATGTTACAATATGTTTATGACCACATGTTTGAAAAGTCGTTCTTCTTTTTTTAAACTCCGTATCTTTCAAATTTTGTCACATAAATTACAATGGAGATAGTTATTTTGGCTCCCCCCTCCTCTTTTTTTTTTTTTTTTATGATACACAAGTTATACATAGGATATCATGAAATTTATTTACTTTTTTATTAATATATGTTACGAAAAATTCTGCGTACGTCACTGCGATGCGTGTGTAGGTTGTCACAAATGGAAAGCTATCAGCTGGAGTGCATAGAGTTGTGACAAATTCAACATCTGATAGAACATCATTGGGCAGCTTAATAAGTCCAATTGAGTGCACAATTGAACCTGCAAAAACACTTATAAATGAGAAAAATCCACCTTTGTTTAAATCATTTTCATATACAGAATATTTGGGATATTATTTCAGTGACACAACTGAAATTGAAGCAGCATTGAAACCATATAAGCTCTAAGAGAAGAGGGAATTGATAATTTTAATCAAAGTTTTATGTTATAATGTATTGTTTGTACTTACTATTTTTAAATTTCTATGTTGTATGAACTTTGCTCATGCTTGTTTGAATTTTAATTGAATAAATTGGTCGGGTCACTTCAGAGACGGAGCTACGTGAAATTCATGAGTTCGGACGAATCCAGTAGTTTTTCCGTATAATTTGTACTTGTATTAGAAAATTGAATAGAAATATATGGATTTGAACTTGTGAAATCCTTACAAAAATTGATTGACAACTCACTTATAAGAAAAAGATCATGAAATATTTTTTCACGCTAAAGTTATGAGTTGTGTGCCACATATTAGAATTCGGATAAATAAATTTTCTAAAGTGAATAAAGTTGAGATAACATATCATGATATTCTTTTATTGAGATATAATAAAAAAAGTTCTTCAAAATAACATATATAACGTGATTTCATAAATGGAGTCAAGAAAAATAAAATGTACAAACCTTATTCTACTTTTAATAGATGTTATAAAACTGTCTCGAAAGACTTTTGATTCATCATTCAATCAACAAATCAAACTAATATGAAAATATGATAAAAGAAAAGAATTAGATAAATAATTTTCTTCTATATTTGATTATCTTTAATAATTTAATCAATAAAATATAGATGTAACATTTTTCTTTTTGGTAACTAAGGGGCAATTAGGTAGAGGAGGACAAGGTGCACCTCTCATAGGATGACAATGACAATTTTTAGAATCATCACAATAACTATAAATGTCACCAACACCTTTGTAACATGATTCTATACAATGTTTTTCACATTCATTTGATGAACCCACACAACCAAAATTCTCAAAAATTGCTTCACACTTGTCTTCATTTGATGAGGGATATTTTGGTCCATTTGCTTCAGTTATCATAAAAATATCAAAAAAGAAAATAATTAATCGAGATATGAATAAAGTAATTTTCAAATTATAATTATCAAATTTTAATCAATTCTAGAAAAAAGTATCTGAAAAACTCCAATCACAACAAATAGGTTACGAAATTTCTTCGAATGTAAGTGATTTTCTTATATCTGATAAGTAAATAAAAAATATTATCCCAATCAAGAATAGGTAGGTTTTGAGGCAAGAAGGAAAGAATAAACGTAATATTACCTTTGAATTTTTTATTTTTTTTGTTTTCATCAAGAAATTCACCAATAAAATATGAGAAAAATGAAGAAAAAAATCATTTTTTTGGTCACACTGTTGATTTTTATAATAATAATAAAGAAGAAAGATTAATCGAAAGGACAAAGAACAATAAATAATTGTATAAATCATATATATACCTAAAGCCACAACAAGCAAAACTAGAAGAGAAACACAAATGTTCTTCATTCTGAATAAAAGTCGTCTTTTTTAGAGAACACCTTTATTATAGAATTGAAAAAACGAGAAAAAGATTGAGTAGAGAATGAATAATAGTTCTTTGTATTTACATCATATGCAATAAGTTATTTTCCTTACATGCACTAAATAAAAGGGAACGTATAATTATTTTATAGACAATAAATTAAAAAAACTAAATATTTACATCATATTTATAAGGAGAATAAAATAAGAGCAATAAGTTATTTTCCTTACATGCACTAAATAAAAGGGAACGTATAATTATTTTATAGACAATAAATTAAAAAAACTAAATATTTTACCATTAATGTAAAGGGTAGAAAAAGTAATTATTATAGAAAATTCTTAGACTAAAAAGGAAAAAACTCAATTTTTATCTCCCTCTCCAAAACCAAAGTTAACTCCTCCTCCAAACGGCCACACATAATATTTTGATAGTTTTTACTTTTTATTAATTGTTGTATTTTTTTAATTAAAGGAAAAATATAATTTATGAAATTTAAATTACAAGTTTAAATAAAATTTTAATTTGAAATTAACCTATCCCAAATTAATAATTTCAAATATTAAAAATTATTTTTTTATAAATAGACTATAAATTAAATATACACATACATTTAAGCCGAGAAAATATTTGAGATAATCTCAATTGAACATGATTTAAAATCAGATTGATTTGAAGTTGATTTTCTTGATATGCAGTTTGAATATCTTAAATTGTATTACACCCGTCGCAAAAACTCACAAGTTGTAAAATTAGTTTTTTTTTTGAATTCTTACACAATCTTACTTACACTTAGTTTAGATGGTTGTTTCATAGTATATTGTATTGTATCATACTGTATTGTCTTAATTTTTTTTTTGAATAGATTGTATTATTCTTCGTTACTATACAAATTATACACATTCACAATTTGAGTGATAAATCTACGATAAAAGTAGGATACTTGATAGAGATATTATGAAAAAAGTAAGATCACCCTTCAAGGGAGATAGGATACGTGATAGGTCTGCCTTCTGGATCGAGCTTACCTCTCATATGTGGTTAGCGATCTCTTGCATAGGAGCGAAAATTTTACCAAGTGTTGACCCAAAGAGTAGCGGAAATGTGACTATTAAATATTATGTAAAGATAAAAATGAAAAGAAAATATCAAGTTAATGACACAATCACATCAAATCAATCGTTACATACAATGACTCTTTTCGTTTTTACATACGATACAATAAAATTTACGAAAGAATCAAAATAAACATTATATTTAAACTAACAGTAACAATCAAAATAAACATTGTATTTACACAATACAATACAACAAGTAACAACCATACCAACAAAGTGTTAATGTGTAAACCATAATTAAAAAACAGTATATCCTTAAGCTCTGCATTGATAAATCACATATCTTCGTATTTCTTTTTATATATATAAAAAAACATTTACAATTACAAACTTTTATAAACACATAATTTCATAACTATCACTAATCAACAATAATAATATTTAGTTGTTCTTCAATATAATATAATATATTCACTCTAAATACAAAATTTTCTTTAACAAAATATTAACTTATGAATTAAATTTTATATTTTTATAATTTTTTTTAAGTAATCACTTTTTTTTTTCCTTCTAAATAAACAATATTTTTAATTAGTGGATTTTTTTTAAAAAAAAAGCATATACCTTTAGGGTTTCTTGAAATACCTCATATATAAATTCCACATTTTTTCGTTCGCTTTAGCCTTCTCTTTCGCCAACCAAAACCTTACAGCCTCAAATCTCAAATCTCCTTTTCCAGTTCTTCAACAATGGCTGTAACTTTCTCAAATCTTCACACTGAAGCTGGTCTTAAGTCTGTTAATGACCATCTTTCTGGAAAAACTTATATTTCCGGGTAAGTTTTTTTCTCAGATTTACAAACTGTGTTATTTTCTGGATTTTTTTTTTGATTTTGATGGTTTTTTTTGCAGAGATCAGCTGACTAAGGATGATATTAAGGTATATGGGGCAATTTTGGAACAACCCAGTTCAGATCTTTACCCCAATGCTAGCAAATGGTACCAAGCTGTTTCTGCAAAACTTGCCTCGAGGTAGATTTTGTCTTTTTTTTTAAATGCTGTTTTTGTACTTTTTTTTTGATTTGGATAGTGTTTTGCTGTGGAAGTTTGAATCTTTAGTGTGTTTGTGTGATTAGTGATGAGTTTTGGAGCTCAATGTTGTGAGTGTGAAGAGTTGGTAGTTGATTATTCTTTTTGAAGTCACTGGTTGTATTGTTCTTTGACTTTTTTTATTTTTTTTTCTCTTTGGAAGATTGAATTCTGGTTGAGTTTTTGTTGTTTTTTCTGATTAATGATGAATCTCTGAGTTCAATTTATCTGGGAAGTTGTGTGTGTGTGTTGGATTTGGTAGCCATGGATTTTCTTTGATTCTACTTTTTAATGCTACTGTTTATATTGTTCTTTTGAGTTTGTTATGTGTTTTTGCTTTGAAAGTTAGAATCTTTAGTGCTATTTTTGTTGTCTTTGAGATTGATGAGAAGAATTGGATAACCAGGTGCTTGTCTGAGAAAGCAATTTGATATGTCAAGAGAACCGGAAGTCCGGCTTTTAGCATTCGATTCATTGAGATTTGTTTTCAAATTTTTGAGGAACTTTTTGCGGAGTGTGAATAGTAAACTAGTATCTTACATGATTTCTTTTTCTTGTGCTCAGTTAGTGAAGTACTCCAGTTCTTTTGGAGCTTGGAGTTCAGTTTTCCTGGGAAAGTTGTAGGTGTTAGAATTGGCAGCTACGGCTTTTCCTTGATTATAATTTTTAGTGCTATTGTTTATATAGTTGTTTGAGGATTCCAAGTGCTTTGATTTGAAAGGTAGAATCTTTAGAGGGTTTCTAATGTCTTTGTGATTGATGATGGAGCTTAGTTTTCATGGAGAGCCATGTGTGTGAGATTTGGCAGCTAGACCTATCTTTGATTATTCTTTTTGATGCTACTGTTTATATTGTTCTTTAATTTTCAACTTTTTTTGCTTTGGAAGTTAGAGTCTTGATTGTGGTTTTTCGTTATTAATGATGATCTTGGTGTTCAGTTTTCCTGGGAAAGCTGTTGGTGTGAGATTTGGGAGCCAAGCTGCTCCTGCTGGAGCTGCACCTGCTAAGGAAGCTGCCAAGGTACTTACTATACTGTTGAAGTATTTTATCTATTGACATTGACCACTTTTGTTTTGCTTATTACTATGTAGAGGAGGTCTTTAATAATTCGGTTCATCTAATAAGATGTTTGCAATTGGTTTTATTACAAGATCTTAGTTGTCACTATTTTCTATTGGAGTAATTGGTTTTTATAATAATTATAGTTACCCTCTTTGCTTCAAATTGCTTGTTTGGTTTCAACTTGTCTCAAAGTTTAAGAAAGTACAGAACGATATTTGAATCTTGTGGTCTTTAACTAAAGGTATATTTATACCATAATGCCCTTTCATCTTGTGCTCTTACGCATGTCATGTGGGAAGTTAGAATAAAGAGTTGCTAAAAAAAAGGAAAGGTGCATTCTTTTTTAAACTAATTAAAAAGGAAAGTAATACAAATAAATTGAAATAGAGGGAGTAAAATGTGTCCTATTACTTTCTAGGTAAATGGTTATATTTAATGTGAATTTAGTGTGTGTTATTAACTTGTCTATATGGTTGTTTTCTGCCAACTCATCAATACAATATTTATTGCTTCAAAAAAATTGCTGCTAATACGGTCTATATGATGCTTGAAAAAATAAAATAAAATGTTGTCTATGTGATTCCTCTTTGTTGTGGCAATAAAGCTCCGTTAATTGTATCGTTTTTGTTGTTCTGTTTAAGCTGTTAATCAAATGGAGTTTTGTGGTACCAAGTGTCTCAACTTAAATCTCTTTAATCTCTTTCCCCTTCTCCTTCTCTCTTTCAACTAAAACTTTTAGTTAGAAGATGTGTTGAATTGGGAGGAAGATAATAAATAGAAGAGCATGAAAGCTGAGGCAGTGCCTTAGCTTCCTAGTAGCCAGTGACATTCCCCAAACGACAAACATAAAGGGCAGAATTTCACCTTGAATGGTTTGTAAATTTCAAGGCAGTTCAGCAATGAAAATAATGTATATATCAACTGAGTTGACTGTATATTTCTGAAAACTACCTTGTATTGATCTAACATGCTCACACATTTTTTTTGTTGTAAATAGATATGACTGGGTTATTATATTAGACTTTAACAACCTTCTCGTGCATGATAATGCATAACTAACGAGCTTTGACTTAACACCCTTACTCAAAAGTACCTGATTTATTTTATCATATTGTGCTGTTATTGTGGGAATTTTCCATGCATTTAGTATGGGGCATTTGATTAGCTTGATTTTCTCCATCTCCAAGTAGAGTTTGACACATTTAATATTTGCAGCCTGCCGCTGATGACGACGACAATGATGATATTGATCTCTTTGGAGAAGAGACAGAGGAGGAAAAGGCTGCAGCAGAATCTAGGGAGGCTGCTAAGGCATCCGCCAAGAAGAAAGAGAGTGAGCATTGACATTCCTTCTCAGTTGCTTTCGTATACAAAATGCACAACTACTTTTACATGTGAACAATGTCTCCTTTATCAAGCTGTTTCCATGATAAAAAAGTGAAGAATGAAATTGATTCTGGAAAAATACGAAAAACATTTCAGAACTTGGATTGTAGAAAGAAATTTTGTTCGTTTGCTCAAGTGTATCTTGATTCTGCTTCATTCTCTTCTTCCATTAATTTTGGTAGGTGGAAAGTCATCCGTTCTTATGGACGTTAAGCCTTGGGACGATGAAACCGATATGAAGAAACTGGAGGAGGCTGTTCGCAGTGTTCAGATGGATGGGCTTCTCTGGGGAGCATGTATGACTTATTATATCTATTCCGCTCCTTTTAACCATTGCTCGAACTGTTGTATTATCTTAGTTTGTTACTGACTAGCTGTTCTTGTCTCTTTGACAGCCAAATTGGTCCCAGTTGGATACGGAATTAAGAAGATGCAGATCATGCTTACCATCGTGGATGACCTCGTCTCTGTGGATACCCTCATTGAGGAACGTCTAACAGAGGAACCTATCAACGAATACGTCCAGAGCTGTGATATCGTTGCCTTCAACAAAATTTAAGGTCAACACAGTGATGGAACTTCCTATCCAGATTTAGCCTTGTCTGGCTGTATTTTTGCTAGTTTTCGAGTTATTTTGATACTCTATCGTTGTCGTTCTTTTTCGTTCAAGTGCCTTTAGTCATGTGAATGAGAATTTAACTGTGAAAGCATATGGAACTGAGAATTAAGATCATCAATTATAGCTTTTCTTTTTTGCCTAAAGTAATTTTTTATCTCTTAATTTGTTTTTTTCCTAGTTTTGTGGGGAGGGATGATTGATTGCACAGCTATTAGATATCAGTGGCAGTGTAAACCAGCAATAAGTTGGCAGATGATTGTTCATTACGCGTTTGTGGATAGAGTTACTTTGTACTTGTGTTCATAGATATCTCCTAACGTTCGTTTGAGTAAGCAAGTGTTGGTAGATAGAGTTATTTCGTATTTGTGTTGTGTACGTGAAATTTGTTGAAATTTCGAGAGTGAAACTTTTTGAATTTAATAATGAATTTAGATATATAACGTTAAAAGATTTTTGAAGTATAATTTACGATATTTAGAGATTACATAAAATGTGTTAATAGAAAGTTTTAAAGCACATATATAAATTGCAATTAATTTATTTTTTAACTCTTGAAAATTCAATTATATTGTAGCCAAAAAGTTTACCAAATTTTTAAATTTGGTATACATTTTGTCAAAGTTATCTTCTAAAAATTTACTTACTAAAAACATTGATAAAAACAATATTTCACATCATTACTTATATCAGCTATTATTAAGTATTTTATTGATTTGATGGGAATATTTGATACCAATTAACTTATAACATGTAATTATTTTAAGAAAATTTAATCATCAAATTGCCAAAAATTGAATTGGGATAGATAATTTAATAGCAAAAATACTAATATTAAATATCAAATTAATAATTGGTCAACAAATTTGTTTATTAAATTATATGATTAGTTTAAATATAATATTTATTTTTATTGTTACTTAAATGACATTATATTGCTTTGTTTAAATTTCATTATCAATTAATAATAAAGTAACACGCTTATTTATTATTATAAGCAAATTATAAATTATTGTTATAAATATTATACAATACGTTATAAAATAATATTTAAATCGAGTGTGCATAAAGTAAATTGAAAATGAGAGTAATATATTGAATGCTACCCTAAATATTGAAGAACGTTTCTACTTTCGCCGGTCGGAGAACGACGACATTTTTGCCGGCGACATTTGTTCCGGCATCTACTCCAAATTCTCAGTTACAGGTATATGCCTCTTTCTCTGATCGTGCAGCTTTTAGACTAATTACTGCATACATTACTCTTAATTTAGTTATATTCCATAGTTTCGCTAACACCTGTAATCGATGCAGCTTGTTCTAGCTTAGGGAAAGTAGAAACAGAAATCGAACTATTTCGAGTGAAATGAATACTCCTAGATACAATGAGAAGAATTGAAATTGATTGATTTAGCTTATTAGACTTTGGAACAATAAGTAATTAACAAAAATGAACTGATTCAGTTTGAATAGCAAACAATATAGAAAATTCTGTAACTCTAGTGCAGAGGTGGATGAGTATTTGAAATATATGGGTGTTTCCAATAATATCTAGAAAAACTCAGGGTCCTTCACTGCCATTGGACCAAGTGACTACTTTTTTACTAGATTCCCAGTATATATATATCTTATATATGTAATGCTCAATATAATGGAGGATCTGGACAAAAGCCAGTGGTTTCGTCTGAACCCACACCGTACCCTAGACCTCACCTGCTATAGTTAAGTGTAACCAATTTTTCCTTAAGTATTCTTCGTCTGCGTCTGCCCATTTTGTAATGCCTGGGTGTACTCTGTTTATATAATGATAAAAGAAATATCAGTGAGTCTAATCTGAGAAGTTTTATATGGAGATTATTGTTCAAATTTTGTTTCTGAACGGTGGGTAGTGTTATCTAATGTGGTGTTAGCAGGCGGGTGGATCTAGAATTTTCATTAGTGTTCGAAAATTAAAATGTAGTGCCTGAAATTTGAACTTATAACCTCCATGTAAATTTTGAACCCCCTAACCATTGAGCCAACCTCTTGTCTTGTGTTTAGGATATTCAAAATTTGTACATATTCATAAAAAAATAAAAGTATTAATGTATTTTTTTGCCGAGGGGGTTCGGGTGAACACCCCCGTCCTAGATCCACCCTTGACTAACAGGTAACCCATAGAATTAGTTGTAGGTACTCACAATCTCACCTGAACACCTCAATTATGAAAGAAGATTTGTATCTTCCATTTTTAGTATATTTTTGTTGTTCCCTGAAATAAGTGAACATATGTGCATAAATCTTCTCTGTCATTTTCTAGTTTGTATACATTGATATCTTTTAAGGTTTAGCTAGAATAAAATGGAACTTTTAAGTTATCTCCACCAGAGATAGATTTAGGATTTAAACTTTATTTGTTCATGATTATACGTCAGTGACCTCCAGTGTTAGTAACAAGTTTCTAAATTTATTTCTCGTGCATGTTTTTGATGAATTTCTTAACATTTATACATGCTTTGGGTTACCTTTATTGGGTTGTACCAAACTCGTATGTTATAGCTTACCTACGCCCCTGATCTCCACCACCACCTCTCTTCTTCTAGTCGAGATGAAAGGCATTGATAAAAGGAGGAATTTAATTCTGTACTCCTTTTCTCTCATCTTATGTGACACGATTTAAAAGACACTCTCATAATGTAATTTTGATTTGAAAATATAAAAAAATTTGTTATGGTACTGTTACCCTTTTCAAAAAAAATAAAATTTGTTATGGTAGTGTGATCAGGGGAGATCAAATAATTTGTCAAAATTGAATTCCTTAAATGAATGTGGTTTCTTAAAGAAATGAGATTTAGATAAAATACTACTCCGGTTGTTCCTTTTTATGTGACATTGTTTGACTGGGCAGAAGGTCTTTGAAAGAAAGGTTTTTGAAATTTGTGGTTTAAAACATACCGTGGATATTTGACTATTAATCATCTCATTACGAGTAAGCTGAAAATTTTAAAGTTGAATTGTTTTTCAATATAAAAATGTATCATTCTTTTTGTGATAGAGTAAAAAGGAAAATGTTTCAAATAAATTGTGTGACAAAGGGAGTATTTTTTTGATAAAGTCGTGACAAAGGGAGTATTACTTGTAAAATAATGTCAAACCTCTTTGAACATTATTGCTTGTATTTCCTTAGTATCCTGATTACACTAGATTAATAATACAGCTGTCTGTTCATTTAAATAAACCTCTTTTAGAGATGACAAGGGAAGCTAAGTTGCTGCCCATGATTGTTTATATATTGGATGCTAATCTGTAAGACATGTTTATTTCAGGATAGAAGAATCAAAACAAATGTCGATAAAAAGTAGGAAATTTGCTGGAAAGGGGGAATCAGTGGCATCACATTATGCATTTGGCCCACTTGAAGATGATATAATCATTAAGCATAGACTTCTGACTCGGACAACCACCACCAGAGGTGAACCACCACTGAAGAAACTTCAGAAGAAGTTCACTACTTTTGCTTTGGAGATAGAGAAGGAAGCTGATAACTACAGTGATTGTGAAAGACTAGCCAAAGCATTCTTGCAAGAGCTAAATACTTTTGAGATTCCGCTCCTAAAGAGCAAAGCAGTCATAGATGCGAATGTTAGAGAAAAAGAGAATTTTGACGACCTGAAGGGTGAAATCAACAAGCAAATTGTACAGGCTCAGGCTGACATAGAAGATCTCAAGAGGCAACTCGAAGAAAGCAAGGTTGAAAGGAAGCACAAAGAAGAGGGTGAGGCTATCAGGAAGTTAATTGCTATGCAGCCTCCAAGATCAGAAACTCAGAAGGTTATAACAGAGCTTGAGAAAGAGATAGCTATGTTGGAAGCAGAGAATACTGCTAGTTCGAGGACATTGGACCTTCGTAAAAAGCAGTTTGCCCTTTTATTGCATGTGGTATGTATCTTGCTGCAAACTTACCTTTCATTAGTGCTTTTGGTTTCCTTAGTATTATCCCTTAGCCTAAAACTGATTCTTATTCCGAAGTTATTATGTTTCAGTTTCTTAAATCGGAAAATCCGAAGTAAAAAAAAACCGAGTTGAACTTTTGCAAAACCGAAGCGAACTGACCAACACCCACCTTTAATCTCAAGAGGTGCTGAAGTATGTGTACACATGATTTACTTTAGATTCTAATGCACAGAACCATAGGAAGAGGAAAAGAGAAACTGATTTTTCTTTCCCATTTTTGATTTTTTTTCATGATCGGTTCTTGGTGTTTGACTTCTCTTGTTAGATTTAACTTTATTTGCCGACAATGTAAAGAACTTCCACATTTTCAATGTCTCTAATCTATTATAGCGTGTTATTATCATGTTGTCTAATTTTCCAAATTAGGCTTGCTATGTACAACTACCTATTGTGCATGACTAGTTTAATCAGATATGAGTGACATGTCAAGAATTATGGTGTATGTGAGAAAAGCGGGACAATGTAACACCCCAATTTTCATAGAACGTTATGATTGCCCACTTTTTAATTTATGTAAAGTTCTCCGGCTTTCTTGAAATCCAAATTTCTATGTTATTTAAAAACGTCGATTTAAAGAATTTTTTTTTTGTATAATCTGTGCTTATTTGGTTAGAAAATAATGATCACAGTTGTAAAAAAAACAAATAAACTATGACACTAGAAATATTATGATACTTAGTTGATTGGTGGAGAACTTGCTTCTACCAAGGGCTGGATGGATGCTCAGTGAGCAGTAGAGGTAGTCTAACAACCAAATAATAGAAGTATCTAATGGAGGTATAATGTAATTTTAAAAATCAAGAACTATGCTCTACATATTCTAAAACTAGGAGGTGTTACTGTGCAAAATTTCCTATCTCCTCAAATTTGAGTAATTAGATCTTTAAGACTAGTTTTTCACATTTGGATAAAAGGGTACAAATTTTTATTGCAGTGACAATCAAATATAAAGTGCGAAAATATGTTTGCTCATCCTTTGAGTGATCAGGTGATTTACTCGGGTTTATTGAGATTGTTCCTTCATGGTTCAAAGTTTAAGACTTGATTAAAATTCCTTTTCAGGAATATGATGTTATAATTGGTAAGGATTGGCTCATTAGATACTATGCATTGGTGGATTGTAAGTCGAAGCATGTAGCTTTTAGAATTCTCATACT